GGGGGGGGTATGTTACACCGCCGATATCGCCCGGTGAAAATGTAACGCGATCGAACATGCGTAATTCACGCGGCGCGCGCTAAATTAATCGACGCCGAAGTAATTGCTCGATTCGAGCGATCGCGTACGCTTCATTTCACGCGAGCGATGCCGTCATTTCTCCGTCGCTCAGCATGCCGCGGAGGTTCGCGCCCGTCGTCCCGGTTAAATCGTGACATCGCACGAGCGTGCGAGACTGCCTCAGCGAGTACCCCCGAGAAGTACATCGTCACGGCTGTTCAAACAAGATCTACTCTAGTTTGCCGCATATTTCGAGCGCGACAAAATGAACGAATCGAGCGCGGAGGGAGCCGAATTTCCGTTAGCGAGGACCGAATTCGGCTCGTAAGAAGCAGAGATTCCGTTCACTTCGGTCGAAACGGTCGTTCATCGTCACGCTAATTCACCCGAACTTTTCTCCCCAGTGGGGAGAAGAAATCGAGGAAGAGAGAGGAGGAGTTCGAAATTTCGGACGCAGCATTAACCAAGTTAATCGTCTCTCAGCTTGATCGGAGATCCGTGCGACCGGGCCGAAGAGAGGTTGAAAGGATCGGAAAGATCTTTAAACGTCCCGACGGCGCCGGGAGTCGAGCTTCTCTCTCTCTCTCTCGAAGTCACCGGAGAACCGGCGTTGGCACGCGTTTCGATTACCCACCGAGAAAATCCGCCGAGGTGAACGCCAAGTGGTGCAGCTGCTGCTGCAACGGATGCATCGCGGTGGCGCGGCCCGCCGACTCGATCGTCTCCGGCGTCTGGATGACGCCGGAGCCGGCGACGGTGGTGGTGCTCGTCGGGCTGACGACGTTGCCGATCGGCCTCGGCGCCAGGATGCTGTCGATGGTGAAGAGCGAGGTGGGCGACGACATGGTGGCGGAGGAGCCGGCGCGCGAGGAGGCCGGCTCGCGGTTCCCGGGGTGTCGCGTTACCTCCTCCGTGCTGCCGATCGGGCTCCTCGAGTACGACGTCCGGTCGACGTGCGCATCGGCGGCCGCGCCGGCGACGTCGTTGCGCCTCGGAGACACGTGATTCTGCACGTCGGCGCTCTTCAGCTTCTGCTGGAAGCTCTCGGGCGAGTAGCTGTACAGGTAGCTGTGGTTGTAGCCGGATATACCGGGACCATCGTGCAGCGGACTCGATGGCTCCGTCATGGGAGAGCGTGATCGGGGCGAGTCGCTCGCATAGGTGCTCTCTACCATGTTACGGGAGATCAGCTCAGCTGGTGTGATGCGACTCGCTGCGGACGAGGTGACCGCCGAGCTGGCGAGACGAGGGACGACGCGTCCGGTGAGGGCTGCTTCCGGCGGCTCTACCCTCGTTCTCCAACGGCGACCCGCGGTTTCCCTCGCATCGCGCGTGCGAGTTCGCGCGAACCGTCTCTTTCGATTTCGTTCCGGCAAGGAGGTGAGAGAGAGAGAGAGAGAGATAGAGATCGGTCGATCTCCTGGGGAGTCAGCGCCGCATGCCGCCGGTCCCCTCTCTGACGGCAAGAGTCCACGGGGGTGAGTTGACGCGCACGGACACCCGATGCCCTTCCTTCCTTCTGCCGGCGGTCGTACAACGACGAGGAACGTCCGGCACGTCGTGCTCGAGCGACGGGGAAGACACGGAGAGGCCGAATCGCGAAAATCCGACTCCTCTCTCCCTCTCTCTCTCTCCTTCTCGTCGTGGCTGACCCGTATCGACCACTTATCCACTTAGTCGTTAAGCCGCCGCCGTAAGGGCGCCGAGGCGTGACCGATCGCGCCTAGCGTCGCACGACACCAAGTGACATCTCCGATAAAGGATATCCGAGGACTAGCCATAGCGCGGCGGCTGGTGCCGCGTGGTGGACGCGCGCGCGCGCTTCCTCTTCCTTCCCTTCGGGTCTCTCGGCGCGCACACCGAAAGCCACCCCCGTGTGGCCCGCCGCGTATCGGCGGCGGACAGAGGCCACCCTCGGCTGGGGCCCCTCGGGTTGGCGTGCGTCGTCCGGGGCGTGGCAGCGCCTGGCCCCGACCACTTTTCCACCACCCCGGTCGGCGGTGGTGGCGGCGACGATCTCTCCCCGAACGCGCGGAAAACGGGAGCGAGAGAGGGCGGCGGAGGACCGAGAGGGTAGCCAGGCGGGAGGAGGAGGGCGCGAGAGATCGCGTCGCGACGCCGCTCGGCGGGGAGACGGTCGCGTCACGATGCCGCCGCGGCGATGCTACCACCCCTTTCGGCGCGCGGCAACAGACACGCGAGACAGCCGCGCGTCGTCGCGGAGGGTGGTCGCGACGTAACCCTCCGATACGGTGGGGGAGAGGGTGAGCGACAGAGAGAGAGGGAGAGTCGGAGAGGGAGATAGGAGTGACATATTTGCCGGATGCATATTACGGAAGTTACCGAATCTCTCGCTCCGTCATCGTCGTCCGCACAGACGGCGGCGGCGAGGAATCGAATTCGGAGGCTTATTTTTCCAAAGCGTCTTAAAGCGTTTTTAAGAAACGGGGGTAGATCACCCGCGTCACAGACGGAAGTGCCGTCTCGTAGCTGCGCGACGAGCGAAGGTCGGATGTACACTGAGCGAACGACGAACGAATATTTGTTAACGTGCGAATGTGTGTGTATTCGCGTCCAAACGCGCGAATCTTCCTTGATAAGCCATAACTTCATAAACACACCGGCGGCTGAAATGTTCTGTTTGGCTTCGTTACGGCGCATTTGCCGAATTGCGCACGGAAAAAAAGTGTCGGAATTAAATAAACGTATACCGAGACAAAAATATTTGGGAATTTGTCTGTGGGGTATAAAGGGGATGTATATGGCTTATTTCACGGAAATAATATTACTTATTTTATAGCATCTCCTATATTCACAGAAATAAATTTTATTATCTTATATATTCCAGAAATCAATTTTTAAGTATTTTTTTTAGTGTAATTAAATACTTTTCAGCCTCTTAAACTAATATTTTTATCAATTTAAGTATATTTCCATCGCTTGCAGAAAATACTTACTGGAACGCTGTAATACCTTGATTTGTAAACGAATTACTGAATGTGGATATAAAATGGTTCTAAATTTGAGAGAGTATTTATTAGGATTGCGTGGTACTGCTCTTCCGTTGAAGAAACCTATAGTTTTTTTTTATAAATTCAACTTTTTCCGTTCGCAGGTATTTCCTAAAAATAAATCCTGAAAATCCTTCAATATTATGAATCTATATATAATGCTTGTCGCATTATATTTCAAGGCAATTATATTTCTACTTCTAGTAAATATTTGCCAAGAAGCATCGGTGTGACTATTTTACTTGAACCAAGTAAATATTACTTGAACGGTGGCACTATTTTTTTAAGGCAATAAAGAGAGCTTACATTTGTTTGTTCTTTGTTCATTCGCTCAGTGTATATGCAGTTTAACGTGAATTTGAAAGGGTTCGGGGGTGAGATTCCCGATCCTGATCTGATTTCGGGCGATTGATTGTCTTCTTGAAAAAACGACGTGCTTCGCTCGACGCGGTGATGTTTCATAAAGCGGAGGGTGTAATCCATATCGTCGCAGAATTTACGGAGAGCGGAGTGAAGCGGAGAACATCGTTTTATAAACGGGAATCGTATACAACGAACGAGAGAGAAACTGGGAATTTCCGAAGAGCGATTCGGGGGATGAACGGGCACGACTTTCTCGTAGCGTATCGAGAATCGGCAATGTATATCCGCTCGTGAGTATTTTCTCGTGACTTCACGAAACTAAGATACATACATAAGACCCGAGTAAAAATGTATCTAACGTAAAAGGAGATGGCGCTATCTATTCTAAAACATATAATCTAACTACTGTATACTCGCCTACTGGTGTTCAAAAATGAGGTAGCAAGTCAAAATAGGTTATTCCGTAAAAATCTCAAGGAAGCGGAAACGAGCGTTACATTATTGGCTAGTAGCGGCGTTAGACGCGAATTTAGTATCTGGCTAAACACCCACGAGGTCCAACTTTCACCGGGGTGCGTTTAGGCAAACAGCTTAGAAGCTCGTGGCCCTCGGAGTTCCTCGAGTATCTTCACCTAGAAAAATAACGTTCTCACCCTTTGAAGCCTTCGGAACAAACATCACTCGGCCTACCACGTGCGCGACGTTTCGGCAAACTCTATAATCCCGAACTCCCGAATTCTATAAATCTTGAGTAAATTATCACGCAACTCGTGACCTCAATTTTCACCGACGGATTCTACCCTCCCGACGAGCCGGAAGCCGATTTTTCCCGGGGGGAAGAAGGAGGGGGATAAATATCGAGGCGCCGACGGTTCTCGAGTATGCGACACACTTCTAATCCCCATTCAACCCTTCCGTCTCCCCGCCGGAGACACCGATAAACGCTTCGCTCGTTGCGTAGTTTTAAATAATAATCGAATCGATTTGCCGACGTTACGACGGGATCAAACGGTGAGCGCATACGCCAATCCGAGCGCGATGAACCCCACGCGGAAGCTCAGGCGTCGGTATATCTGGATTATGGCGGTTGTGCGCCGCCACAGAGAGGGAGAGAGAAAGATAGACGATAGACACACAGATAGATAGATCGGTTGAATAAAAGAGGGGAGGAGCGGGGGGAGGGAGGAGGAAGAGAAAGAGAGCTCTTCCCAAAAGAGAGAACCCTAGCGAGAGAAAGACAGGCAGAGAGAGGAAGAGAGAGAGATAAAGAGAGACCTACCTACAAGCTACCTAGCGAATCCGCGCGGATCTGTTCAATTATTTAAATCCCGGCCAATGCGTCCGTATTAATAACATAAAACCGTTGTAATGTGCATTGACTGTCGTCCTCGCTTGCGTCGTCGCGGCGGTGGTAAAGCTGGCCGGTGAGGGGTCGCGCATCGAGCGAGGAATCGAGCGTGAAAAGGTTCCTCGCCCGTTAGGGGTGCGTACGTGCCGCGGACATTGTAAGTACCTCGCCCTCCTGTTCGGCGTTATAGCCCCTTGCCCTGCCCACTTCTCTCTCTCTCTCTCTCTCGACGAGTAGCTGCTGCTGCTCCTCTTCCTCCACCCATCCATCCATCCATCCGGCAGTACGTCCATCCGTCCGTCCGAGATCTGTGCATCCCCGTGCGGTCCATTCGAGCGTAGTGAGATCTGCGCCAAGCTTAATCCTAATCCGTACGTTAATCGTACGCCCCGATCCGGCGAACCGGATCCCACATTCTGTGAGATCCTCACGTGGTATATATATTTTAGCTACCTTTTCCTACCTACCTATAACGCGAGTCACCTCACCCAGCGGCCGGTTCAAGCCGTTGTTAGGACTCCAGAAGACGTTGGGATGTCGTGCGAGAGAGAATCCGCGAGAGGATCTGTGCTCCGGAAGAAAGAGGGGTGCGAAGAGAGGAAGATCTTACACATCCCTCTTCTCGGGCAGCGGACACCGCCATTGTTCGACGATACGTCGTGAATTTTATTAGCCGGTGGATCACGGTGGAACGAAACGGACTGGGAACCGGCCATCGCTAATATATCTCTTGATCTGCTGATGCTCTTTTTGCGATTTTGCGCGCGCGCGCGCCTCGCTAGCGAGCAAATCGCCGCCCGACGACGAGACACGGACGAACGTACGGAGTTAAACGAGTTTATTTTGAAACTGAGGCCCAGTCACACGACGTGAGTTTACTATGAATTATGAATGAGTCTCCTTTCTGGAAAAGAAGGACACACGCGGAAAGCGTGGTAAAGAGAGAACGAAAAAGGGAGGCGACAAAGTTACGAGGCCGCTCGGGATGCACTTCGAATCGCCTCGGCATCCGAAGTCCAAGTAATTATCTTTCGTCATTTCTTTTGATTTATTCTCTTCAAGTCGTTCTATGCATAAACGTATGAAAGTTCATTGAGAGAAAAATACTGAGAAATTTATTTGTGGGATATAAGATTTATTTAATTAAAGAGAGAGAGAGATAAGGTTTGTTTCTGCAAAATAAGGTCTATTTCCGTGAAATAAATTTTCCACAAACGAATTTTCAAGTACCTTTTTTTTTCAGCGGTACGGTCAACGAAACGTAGATACTTTATAATATAAATATTTAATTAATAAACATTTAGTTTTTATTGGGTTGGTGCAAAGGTTGGTTCTGTTTTTTAATCAAAATGTGCACGTAATATTTATTTATTTTAAAATACAATCAGCCAATCAAGTACGCGTCGTTTTATTTGATGACCTGCCATCTCTCCGGCATACTGAAAAGAAAAAA